TAAATGACTTTTGGTAGGATGGTCATTTTCACAATATTAATTCTTCCAATCCATGAGCATGGGAGGTCCTTCCATCTTCTGATGTCTTCCTCAATCTCTTTCTTTAGAGATTTAAAATTTTCATTGTAGAACTCTTTAATGTCTTTGGTCAGGTTTAATCCGAGATACTTTATTTATTTATTTATTTATTTTGCAGCTATTGTGAAGGGAAGTGTTTCCATGTGCTTTCTGTGATGGCTTGTTATTGGTGTATAGAAAGGCTACAGACTTTTGTAGGTTAATTTTGTAAACTGCCACTTTACTGAATGTGTTAATAATTTCTAGTTTTCTCAGAATTTTTGGCATCCTTTAGATATAATATTATATCTGCAAAAAGGGATAATTTGATCTCTTCTTTCCCAATTATTACTCCTTTAATTTCCTGCTCTTGTCTTACTGCTCTTGTAAGAGTTTCAAGCACTATGTTAAAGAGAAGTGGAGCTAGTGGACAGCCTTGTCTTATTCCTGATTTCAATGGGAATGCTTCCAGGTTTTCTCCATTTAGAATGGTATTGGCTGTAGGTTTCTTACATATGGCTTTAATTATGGTGAGGTATGTTCCCTCCAGTCCAATTCTCTCTAGGACTTTGAACATAAATGCATGCTGAATTTTGTCAAAAAGCCTTTTCTGTATCCACTGCGATAACAATGTGGCTTTTATCTTTGAGTCCATTTATATGATTGATGACATTTATTGACTTACATGTATTGAACCATCCCTGCATCTCTGGAATAAAGCCTACTTGATCATGGTGAATGATCTTTCTGATGTGTGTCTATATGCGGCTTGCAAGTACCTTGTTGAGAATGTTTGCATCTATGTTCATTAAGGATATGAGTCTATAGTTTTCTTTTTTAGTTGTATCTTACCTGGCTTTAGTATTAGAGTGATCCTGGTTTCATAGAGGGAATTTGGAAGTTTGCCCTCCATTTCTACTTTTTTGAATAAACTAAGTAGTATTGGATGTATCTCTTCTTTAAATGTGTGATAGAATTCTGCTGTAAATCCATCTGGTCCTGGGCTTTTTTTAGTTGGGACATTTTGTATTACTGTTTCAGTTTCCTTATGTGTTATGGATATGTTTGAGCTGTTGACAGTTTTGGTGGTTCCCATGCTTTTAGATACCCTCCCATTTCTTTTAGGTTTTCAAATTTAGTAGCGTATAAGTTTTTAAAGTATTCCCTTATAATGTTTTGGGTCTTTCTGGTGTCTGTTGTGATGTTTCCCC